CATTCCTGCGGTTTTCAGACTCGGTATGTCCCTGAAATTAGACATAAACCTGCTGTGCACTAAACAAAAATCCACATCCTTAAACACTCAAAGGCAGTATGCAATTTACTGTTGTTATAAAAAAAGAGAATTAATTGCAAATAATTCTCTGTTATTTGAGTGAGAATGGTAGGAAATGAGTTAACTTACCTTTGTAATGTGTGTTGTGATCCAGCGCCCTGCACGCCCCTTAATCTCGTGACATATTTCGAGTGTGACAATCAGTTGGGTTCTGTCAGCTGGGGCCCAAGCGAGGGGGCGAACATGTACACTGCCACAGCAGTAGGTGAGGATGGACACACACACCTGTGTGTTACTAATGGGACCAGCTGCACCTGGGAGGACCTGCACTGCGGTGAAATCTATAACATTACAGTCACTGCCAGTGACAGCCGCTGCACGAGCGCACGCAGCAACAACACCACCATACACATGGGTAAGACCAGACACTAATGATAAATGTACCAGCAGTCTGCATCTATTCTGTAGGATGAATTTAAGTAGTTTAAAACTAACATTACATACTAATCATTTACATGATAGTTAAATTAAAAAAACTAAAACAAATGTATGACTATGTATTAGCTAGAAGATTGCATTAGATAACAAAATAAGAAAAGATCAAACCAAGTGGCTTTCACTTGACACTTGCATTTATATTTGTACTGTTTAAAATTAAGATAAAAAGTATTTGAACACTGTGAACTTGAGGGGGATCAGCTGGTTAAAAATAATTGTAAAAATGACTAAGAAAAGTCAGTATTATCTATCTATCTAAATTTATAATAGATAAATATAGATAGATAAAAAGTGTGATCAATCAGCTAATTTAAATCACACAAACTACGCATTTTCAATTAATATATTTTTTCAATGTATATATTTATCATAATGAGAAAAATATGCAACTTCTAATGATTATAAATTAGAAAATTTGTATTAAACACATTTTCTCAATTTCAATACAAACTAAATATTATTTGAAATAAAAAGCACTTTAAGATCTTTCACAATACCCTGACATATTCCATTATTGTGTGTGCAAACAAACCTCAGGGGAGTTTTTAAATCTGTGCTATGTTTTCTGCCTCTTTAGCCCCATGTGTTCCTCAAGCTTTGACGCCGATCCTGGACTGTGGCACAGGGGTGGGCTCTCTGAGCTGGGCTTCCAGTGCTGGAGCTGAGACATATGAGGTGGTAGCAGTGAGTGAAGATGGGAACACGCTGCCATTCAGTACCAACATCACCAGTGGCTTCTTATCAGAGCTGCTCTGCGGTCAACAGTACCAGGTCAAAGTCAGAGCAATCAACAGGCAATGCAGAAGTGTACCGAGTTCACCTGCTTACCTGTCTTCAGGTAATACAGAAACACTGATGGCTTGACTACAGTCTGTTGAGAATGACCCATATCGCAGATCTCAAATGCTTTTCCTGTTCTGTTCTCCTCTAGTTCCATGTGTTCCTCAGAACGTCGTATCTGAGCTGGACTGTATGTTTAACTTTATAAATATAAGGTGGAACATCAGCCGCGGGGCGGCGTCTTACCTGGTGGTTGCCAAGGGACCTGAGGGTCCAGTGACTGCCTGTAACACAACTGCGCAGGAGTGCAGACTGCAAACACTGCACTGCAGCTCCTCGTACGATGTCAGCGTTATTGCAGTAAACCAACAATGCAACACATCAGGAAGCTCCATCTTACGAATAAACACCGGTATAGTCTCCAGTTTCATATCCTCTGCTCTTTGCCTTTATCTCTGTTTGAAAAAAAGATTAATTACAACTGAGCATGCATATAGATGTACGATAGAAAACAAATTACAATTCATTATGCAAATATTATTAAGTCAGAAATTCAGTGAGATTTTTTTTTTAAATTGGGGATTTTCAAACTTTAATCTTAAATTTCCTTCAAATAGATTTTATATATAATTAATTATACATTTTATATATAATTCTGAATTGTATGCAGAAGTTGAATACCTAGTGTTAAGGTTTAAGCAATTTAATTTAGTCTTTCTCCAACCTTGTTTCTTTGCAGTGCCATGTGTACCTACTCATGTGCAGGGCAGTGTAAACTGTACGACTGGAGCTGTATCCGTGTCCTGGGGCCCAAGCGTAGGGGCTATTTCCTATGCTGCGGTTGCTCAGACTAGTGGTGGCTACGCCTCAGTGTGTAACAGCACTGGAACAGCATGTGTCTTCTCGGATCTGCTCTGTGGGATGAACTATAGTCTAGCTGTCAGCGCCACTGACGGGACCTGCAACACTGCACCGAGTCAACCAGTTGTGCTGAGTACAGGTACCTGAAAAACAAAAAAATAGCATCCACCATAAATGCAGTTCAACAGTTTGGGGTCAGTAGTATTTCATGCTTTTGAAAGAAGTCTCTTATGCTCACTAAGGCTGCATTTATTTGATCAAAAATACAGTAAAAATCATAACATTGTGAAATATTATTACAATTTAAAAGAACTTAAAATTTTCTATTTTAATATATTTTAAAATGTAATTTAATCCTGTGATAGCAAAGCTGCCATTACTCCAGCCTTCAGGGCTACATGAACCGTCAGAAATCATTCTAATATGCTGATTAGCAAATATTTTTGTGTAATTATTTGACAAACAGAAAGATCAAAAGAACTGTATTCATGTGGAATATAATTTCTTTTGGAACATTATATAACTTTTTGTCACTTTTGATCAAATTAATGAATCCTTGCTGAATACAATTTTGCCCAAAAAGATCTGACCCCAAACCTTTGAACAGTGTATTTTAGTGCAATGATACATATATGACTTTGTTGAATTTTTTTGTTCTTAAGGGTAAAAAACACATCTAGACAGTGTGTAATAAAATAAAACAAAATGCATATATTAATATTTAATTAAATTCATAGCAATAAAATTACAGCCCTCTAATTTTTTATTTGAAAGACACAAGGATGTTTTACTGTTCATTATTTAGAAATGTGGTTCCCAAAATAACAGAAAAATTATCACTTCTACTGGCGTTTGTACTACTTTTTAAGTTTCAAGTACTACATTTATTATCTTGTTAATTATGATGACTGTTAATATTTAATTTCACTTCAGTGCCCTGTAAGCTACAGAATGCTAGCGCCCAGCTCAACTGTGACACCAACTCTGCTGTTGTAAGTTGGGAGCTCAGTGATAACATCACACGTCACACAGTCCAGGCTATTGGTTCTGATGGACATCGCATCGACTGCACCAGCTCCGACCACAGTTGTACATTAGCTGGCATGCGCTGCGGCCAGAGCTATAACATCACCGTCACTGCCTTGGATGGAGCATGTGACAATAGCAACACACACCTTATGCTGACGTCAGGTGAGTCTGCTGATTCTTTTGTGCATCTGATCAGAGAAGCCAAGATTTAATCCTGTATCTGATTTGAAGTCGAATTTGGGATATTCCAACGACCATGCAGGTGTATGACTATGAACACTAATAACAAATGTCCTTTTAAAAATGGTTGCTGTTCTTGCTCTCTTTCAGCTCCATGTGCACCTAGCAATGTTCAGACGTCTTTGCATTGCGACATCAGTGGTGGTGTTGTGTCCGTGTCATGGGTGCAAGCAAACGGGGCGGAGTTTTACATGGCCGTGGCCGTGTCTAATGATGGTCATTCCTACTCTTGTAACACCACCACTGCCTCCTGTGATCTGCAGGAACTGCAGTGTGGCCAGATTTATAATGTCTCTGTCTACTCACTGGCCCATGGCTGTGGAGGCGTGAAGAGCACTATGTCTCAGGTGCAGACAGGTATGTGTGTGAAGATTTTACTTACTTTATCAAGTAAAGACAACTGTATGTCTTGGTATTTAATGTTTTAGTCCTATTCAAAACCAGTAGTCTCATCTTGAAGCTGATAATTACATAATAAGAGATCTGAACACTTCAGTTCAACTTAATTACCCATCAAATATATAAAAGGACCATATTGCATTTTTTTGTTGCATATATATTTCACTGAAGGTTTCTGTCACCAACAGCAGTTGTAATTTAATTTGATCATTTTCCATCCACCCTCTCACATAAAGGTAAATCAAATTAAATATTTAAAGACCATATCCAAAACACTTCTCACACCAAAATCAAAGAAGAAAATACGAAAATATATTTTGCTTAAGTGAAGTCTACTTTTGGCATTAATATGATATTGGCATTTTTACAGTTATTTTCAGAACAATTAAGAAAATGTTATCTCCAAATTATCATTCACTCCAAAAAACAATAATGGTTAAGTATTTATATTTTATTGTTAAATATTTTATATGATTAAAAAAGTTTAATAATATAGTAAGGGGAACAACAAAAGAATCTGTTGAAAGTAAAACCTCATTATGCGAACAAGAATGTTTTGTACATTAATTTTAATAGAAATTCTACTTAGTTAAAATGCCACCATGCTAAAGTCTTGAAAATGGAATTTAATGTCATTTCATAAAATAGCCTTATTTCTGAGACAAAATACGACAAGGAAATGTTTTGTAAGATTGAACCTTCTTTAGAAATAAACAAGCTACTATATGTTTAAGACTTCTACATGGGGCTATGACTAACTTTTTGCATGTGACATGAGCGGCATGCTATCTTGATGTAGCATTGCGGCAAGAAGCACACCATCGTTGCTATATTGGCTTACCTTATATAGTTTCCTGCTGATGTAGTTACAGCCCCACCCTTCAATAACATCTTGGTTCCTTCTTTCTCTTTTCTCAGCTCCATGTCCCCCCCAGAACGTATCTGCCATTGTGCAGTGTGATTCAGGGTCTGTGCTGGTGAGTTGGAACCCAGCAGTGGACGCCAGCCTGTTCATAGTTGAACTTGAGTCTGAAAGCACTGGTGCGATCTTCTCATGTAACAGCACAAACACGCAGTGCTCCATCACCCATCTGCCCTGTGGAGAGAGATTCAACCTCAGTGTGGTGGCACTGAGAGGCGGCTGTCAGAGTCAACCAAGCAGTGACCTTTCCATCGCCTCAGGTTGGACACTAACACAAGAATACATTCTCAAACAGATTTCAATAGCTATATTTACCTAACGCACTTCATGTCTGACCTCTTCTCTTTACAGCTCCATGTATTCCACAGGGGGTCAACGGTACCGTGGACTGTGTCACTAACTCTGCATGGGTATCATGGGATGTAGTTAATGCTGCAGAGTCTTACACAGTGCTGGCTGTAGGGGAGGACGGTCAAAATTCCACCTGTAGCAGCTCAAACTCCACCTGTAATGTACCTGACCTAGGCTGTGGAAGGAGCTACACCTTTCACGTCACTGCCTCAAATGCTGCTTGCGTGAGCCCACCCAGCAGCAGCTTTCAGCTGGAGACAGGTAAGTACACCTGCGGAAGACAGGTTTAGCCCTTTTATTTGAAACTAAGTGTATCTCAGCCTTAAAGTATGTATAATATCTCTCTCCAGCACCTTGTGCCTTGTCATCCATCGTGGTGGTGGCTGAATGCCACAGTTCTGTTATCATGGTACAATGGCAGAAAGCTCGGAGCGGAAATTCTCTCTACTTTGCCACAGCAGAGGATCAAGACCTTTCCATCCTTTCCTGCAATAGCTCCGCTTCTTCCTGCAACCTAACCAATGTGCATTGCGACAAGGAGTACACTATCATTGTGGCTGCTTCGGCCAACAAATGCAGCAGCCTCCGCAGCCCACCCTACAAGATCAGAACTGGTACAATCATTAATATTATGCCATTCCCATCTAGAATAGATGTTTATTTTAGAAAGCAATCCATTAGAAATCAATAACTACTCATAAGCAACCATTACTATTATTATTGCTCCAACTTAGGGGGGGGAATAGGTGATCGGACTTTAAATTTTTACCCAATAGATGAAGAAAAAACTCTTAGACTTGCATTTAAGAAGGGACTTGGGTCAAACCTAGGGACCACGATATCATGGACACCTGGGGATGGGCTTTTTGACTTATTTTCTAGTCACTGAGCAACCGCCCAGAAACACTAATGCTAACAACCGTGCTATACACTATAACATCTGCATTGTGGGACTTTTCTAGTTAAAGGGTTAATTCACCCAAAAATGAAAATTCTGTCATTAATTACGCACCCTCATGTCGTTCCAAACCGGTAAGACCTTCATTCATTTTCGGAACACAAGATATTTTTGATGAAATCCGAGAGCTTTCTGACCCTCCATAGACAGCGACTCAACTCTGTGTCAGTCTTTGACGTGTGTTTGAACGTTTGTCTAAGACTGCAACAGAAGAGAAGAACTTGTTTAATAAAGTCATTATTTTTGTTTTCTTTGCACACAAAAAGTATTCTCACAACTTCATAAAATTACAGTTGAACCACTGATGTCACATGGACTATTTTAATGATGTCCTTACTACCTTTCTGGCCCTTGAACGTGGTAGTTGCACTGCTGTTTATGGAGGGTCAGAAAGCTCTCCGATTTCATAAAAAATATCTAAACTTGTGTTCCGAAGATGAACGAAAGTCTTAGGGGTTTGGAATGACATGAGGGTGAGTAATTAATGACAGAATTTTCACTTGTGGGTGAACTATCCCTTTAATTGCAACTGCACTCTATAGACCTGGGGCCTCATTTATAAAACTCACCGTAGATTTCATCCTAAAATTGTACGTATGCACAAAAGCTAGATTTTGCGTACGCACAAAAGTTTTCAGATGTATAAAACCATACGTACGCCAGAACCTGCGCAAAAATCCCTTTATAAATCCGTCGGGGGAAGATTGTGCGTACGTGCATCTCCACCCTGTCTCCTCCCCGAAATAACTATATACTTCTAGCTTTACTATGCATATTCCCATCCACGTGACACACATATGAGATACAGAATAAATGCCATTTGTGCCACATAAATTTTTATTGCCAAAATCATCCAGAATGTTTTAGAATATATCAAAATATCCATAAAAACAAAACTGTTTTGTTCTCAGATAAATAGCCTATTATAGAATATACTTGACCTCATTCTTTTCCACTGGCCAAATAGTATTTACATTGTTTTAAACAATTCAAATCAAATTAAATTAATGCAGTTTTGCTGATAAGGTATGTATGATAAGGATTTTTGTTATTTAAGCCTATATTTATCGCAGAGTAAATACATTTGTCTGATTCGGCGCGTCACTGACTAAGTATTTTAAAAAGGAAACACGCAAATCTTACCCTTTTTTTCCCCAAGTTGTATCCTTCAAATACAGTGGTATATACTAGTCAACATTTGAAGTGGATCAAAACCTTTCATCAAAGTTGTCCTAAAACCTAAAACAAAATGTGTTCTTGTCTTAGGACAAGACTTGGAACTTTTTTGATCCACTTCAGATGTTGACTACTGTATTTCATAATGTTGTGGAGATGCCTTCACACGACATCAACACCTCCGTGCAGCTGTGGTTGTACAGTAGCTATTATTCAAACCGGACAATGGACCGTTCGCCCACCGAATCCAGCAGTGTCTGCCATAATATCGAAGTGTGCATCATTGATCATTGTTCTCGCTAAAAAAAAATTAGTTTAGCTTATGCAGTTTAGTTTAAATATGAATTATTATAGCACTGCTCGCTGTCATTAAAACATTGCATGCCACAGGAAAAGTGATTAAGCGCATCAACTACAAATATGTCTAAATTCATATAATTTTGGTTTAACTTCTGCGTAATGACTTTGTCATTTCAGTGCTTATATCCATTGATGAGAGTGGAATGTTTAATGTAAATGTGTATATCGACAGGAAAACAGTTTAAAAATCCTTCATTACTTTTCTCACACCAGGAAAGAGTTTACGCACAGTCAAGAGCATCCGTAATGTGCGTACATATTTACGCCAAGTTTATTTTTTATAAATCCAGATACGTGTGTGGAAAACAGCGTACGCACATTTCTATGCCCAATTTGTGTGTACACAACGTGTATACATGAGGCCCCTGGGTTGTACAATCCCGCTCATGGAGAGCAACCTTCCTGTGGAGTTTAGTTTCTGCCCGGAAGTTCCTAGTAATCACAAAGACCTTGATGAGATAAGGCTGGAGCTAAACTCAAAAGGAAGGTAGACCTCCAGGAGCAGGATTGGATACCCTTGATCTACAGATCTATCCATGTTAGATTTGCTTTCATTACATTAATATTCAGGTTGTGCTAATTTCTTCCTTTCATCATCTGCAGCACCCTGTCAGCCCTCATCAGTACAGGCCAATACAGACTGTCAGTCAAAGGATGTGTTTGTGTCATGGAACCCATCATACGTGGCACAGTCGTACCTACTTACTGCAGTTGGCAGAAATGGAGACTTGAAGACGTGCAATACCTCAAACAATAACTGCACGCTAACTGATCTGCATTGCAGCAACATCTATCATGTGTCCGTTTTAGCCAGTAATGAGAACTGCACCAGCCTGCCCAGTGCTAACATCACCATCAAAACGGGTAAGAGGACACAAATTCTCTTCCTTTAAATTCAGTGAGCAAAGTTTATACATTGTGTAAATTGTACAGTAGCTATTATTCAAACCGGACAATGGACCGTTCGCCCACCGAATCCAGCAGTGTCTGCCATAATATCGAAGTGTGCATCATTGATCATTGTTCTCGCTAAAAAAAAATTAGTTTAGCTTATGCAGTTTAGTTTAAATATGAATTATTATAGCACTGCTCGCTGTCATTAAAACATTGCATGCCACAGGAAAAGTGATTAAGCGCATCAACTACAAATATGTCTAAATTCATATAATTTTGGTTTAACTTCTGCGTAATGACTTTGTCATTTCAGTGCTTATATCCATTGATGAGAGTGGAATGTTTAATGTAAATGTGTATATCGACAGGAAAACAGTTTAAAAATCCTTCATTACTTTTCTCACACCAGGAAAGAGTGTACGCACAGTCAAGAGCATCCGTAATGTGCGTACATATTTACGCCAAGTTTATTTTTTATAAATCCAGATACGTGTGTGGAAAACAGCGTACGCACATTTCTATGCCCAATTTGTGTGTACACAACGTGTATACATGAGGCCCCTGGGTTGTACAATCCCGCTCATGGAGAGCAACCTTCCTGTGGAGTTTAGTTTCTGCCCGGAAGTTCCTAGTAATCACAAAGACCTTGATGAGATAAGGCTGGAGCTAAACTCAAAAGGAAGGTAGACCTCCAGGAGCAGGATTGGATACCCTTGATCTACAGATCTATCCATGTTAGATTTGCTTTCATTACATTAATATTCAGGTTGTGCTAATTTCTTCCTTTCATCATCTGCAGCACCCTGTCAGCCCTCATCAGTACAGGCCAATACAGACTGTCAGTCAAAGGATGTGTTTGTGTCATGGAACCCATCATACGTGGCACAGTCGTACCTACTTACTGCAGTTGGCAGAAATGGAGACTTGAAGACGTGCAATACCTCAAACAATAACTGCACGCTAACTGATCTGCATTGCAGCAACATCTATCATGTGTCCGTTTTAGCCAGTAATGAGAACTGCACCAGCCTGCCCAGTGCTAACATCACCATCAAAACGGGTAAGAGGACACAAATTCTCTTCCTTTAAATTCAGTGAGCAAAGTTTATACATTGTGTAAATAATTTTTGCCATGTGTTTATTCTGCAGTGCCATGTGAGCCAGCCAACTTAACTGCAACCGTACAGTGCGGGAACAGTAGTAGTGCCTCCTTGTCATGGGTGGGGAGTACAGGGACGGTGGCCTACATGGGACTTGCTCAGTCAGAAACCGGCACAACAGCCTACTGTGAAACCACACACACGTCTTGTACTCTGGAGGGCTTAGTGTGCGGCACTGTGTACAACTTTACAGTGCAGGCAACGGATGGCTTCTGCAACAGTTCCTTGAGTGAACCTCAAACTAAGGGAGCAGGTACGGTCATCCTCGCGTCACAATAATCTGCTTTCTTTGAACTGATCTGCTAGTATTTCACATGCCAACCAAGGGCGTTTCAAACTACTGCTTTTGGAGTGGACTTAAAATTTTTGGAGAGCAACATTCGGTTCAATTTATTGGCACGTTTTCTGTACTCGTTTGTCTACCAAAAGAACCACACCCCAATTTGCTTGAAAATGAAGGCCTAGAGAACAGTTCAAGTCCACTCTTGTATGGTTGTCAGTTGGTATGTAAGAAATTTGACCTAATTTGCAGATCCGAATCACTACTTATAAAGTTCTTCAAGGAGCAATCTGGTTAGCAGTTACTTGCATTAAGAATGTGTCTACAAATCGGATATAACATGAAAAAGGACCTCTAGAAGAAGAGTATCAAACTTGGGTTCAGATCAGCCATGAAAGCCTAACAAGTGCCTGTAGCTTTCTAGTAATCCTGAAAGTGAAGTGACGTGTGGCCAAGTATGGTGTCCCATTCTCGGAATTTGTGCTCTGCATTTAACCCATCCAATTGCACACACACAGCAGTGAGTAGTGAACACACACACACACCGTGAACACACACCCAGAGCAGTGGGCAGCCTGGGGAGCAGTTGGGGGTTCGGTGCCTTGCTCAAGGGTCTCACCTCAGTCGTGGTATTGAAGGTGGAGAGAGTGCTGGTTATTCACTCTCCCCACCTCTAATCCCGGCCGGACCTGAGACTCGAACCCGCGACCTGTGTCCGACTTTTTTGTCCATCCCTGGTATTTATTTAGTGTTGGCAAATCCATTGTGAAGACCGATATAAGTGACATTTTGGTTCTGCTGCTTTGGGATACCAACTGGGAAAACAGGTTTTAAGTCTTGTTCACCTCTTTCCCTTAGCTCCATGTCCTCCAGCTGGATTGAGGGTTGTCCCTCGTACAGTAGTAAATGATACTCAGATCTTGAGGGCGTCTTGGTCTACTGTGAATTGTCCTAATTCTGAATACCTCCTGGCACTCACGGGCAGCATTCAGGGCAACAACCAAGCACTCTTTGACCTCACCTCCTATTGGACAAGACGCACATTCTTCGAAGTGCCTCTCCCTTGTGGCTCCACCTACAGTGCAACCATCAGTGCGAGGAACTCTGCCGCCACAAGTGACAAGTCTGCTGCTGTCACTGGAAGCACAGGTGCACAATATTCAGTCACCACAGGACTATCTTCTTACCATACTTAAATGGGAAATGAAGATGCTTAAAATGCAAAAACATCCATAATCATCTGTTCATTTGTTTCCTTCCCCCAGTGCCTTGTGCCCCTCTAAATGTGATGTTCTCTGCATCATCGGCGGTAGTGGCATGGAACGAGTCACTATTTGCTACAAACTACACTGTGTATGGGGTTACTTCCTCTGGAAGGACGAAACTCTGCATGAGCTCACAGCTCCTCTGCTCTGTCACCAATTTCAGCAGTGGTCACATTGTCGTAACTGCCCAAAACACTGCCGGCGAGAGTGAAGACTCGGTGCCTGTTGTAGGTAAGAAGGCTCAGATCAGTGGTAATTTCCATGAAAACAGGTTTGTCAATATGTATCTTGCTTTGGTGAAAGTCCTGTAACCTTTGATCTTGTCCATCCTTTGGCAGTGACAGCAGGTCGCAGGAGGAGGTGAGACCTGGCACAAAGTGAGAAAGGTGAGTTGATGCTCAACAGCAGAAAATAAAGAACAAGTTATGAAAATTCATGAGATTTATTTTTTCAGATGAATTCTCAAAATGGAGAAATATACTTTAGTTAGGGTAAATGGTTTATTGAACTTAACACAAAAAAAGCCTAGACCAACATTGGTGTTGATGAAACATACAAAATATCTTCTATCTTCCGTCTCCTTCAGCCTCATTCCACATGCAATTAAATGATGCCACCTAATGTTTGCTTTTAAAGATTCATCCACAACAGCTCCTTTCCTTAACATCTTAAAAACATATTTACAAGCCACAGAAATATTTTAAGTCTTGAAATGGTTTCCAGTATTAACCCTTGACTCTCTCTACACCAGGCCTGACCAACCCTGAGTAAATGCTTGCATCTCATCGCACTCAAACTCTTGCCTCTGAGAACTCCTGCACTTATCTAAGAATTCTTGAAACTCTGTGATATTTAACTTTTGCATGTTACATATATTCTGGTTCAAGGTTCACTTTTTTTTTAAAACAACATTTAAGGGTGGGATAGATTGACTGGGTAAAAGATTAACATTATTTCTTTTAAAATGTTTTCCAAAATCTGTTTTCTGGCTGTGGGATTTACTTTCATGCAATGCCAAATATTTTAAAAAAAGGTCTTATATAAATATGTATTCCTGTTTTTGTATACGAGTAGTTATATTAAATACAAAGAGCATTTCTCCATGTGATCAGTCTTATAAATAACCTGTAAAGCACATGTAAAATAAATGAACCATACACAAAACACCTGTTCTTATAAAATTAATGTTCTTACAAGGAACTGACAAGGGCACAACAGTGACCTATTCAAAGCAAAACATCACTTTAAAAGACTGTATTTAACATCTTTGAGTAAATTAAATACTCATCCCATGAACCAACTATGGACAATATCCCCTACAAATAATTTTAAATATAAAACTTTATTCTAAAAAATGTATTCTAAAATATTAATACTTGTACAAGTTGAGAGTAGGACTGACTAAATTACATCACAATGCTTCATGGGAATGGGTAGCCTCTTCTTTTCTCACCTACACAGTAATAGCAACTTCTCAGATCTTTTTAAAATTATGGATAGTACTGTACTCCAAAAATAAAGTTGAAATCATACAGCAGAAGCACGTCTTAAGTTAATAACCTCAAATCTCATGGCAGGTTTGCCTTGAAAGGTTTGCCAGCGCAAACTATCAACCTCTATGAAGAAATTGTGACACTTTTACTTACAGAACCCAACAGTTTTGCTTAATGACATCAAAAATATAAAACTGAGCAAATGTGTTCCATACAAGAATTTTATTAGAAAACGAGATGCAACAGAGCAATGAAACAGCAAAATGTCAGCAAAGCTTTCAGGAGAAATTTAAAACATTCTCTGAGCTCTATGTACAAAGCCATTTGTGAAAATCCAGAAAACAAATTGGGAGAGAAAGAGGATTAAAAAAAGTTTTAAAATGCCATTTTCAGTCTGGACATCTGTAATGGGCAACTGAGAGAAAATGACATTTTTTGGTATCTACACAATTAACAGTGCAGAAAAAAAAAATCCAGGCTTTTCCATATGCTTTCTTCAACACAAGTGGTGCACAAGAGGTTTAAAGATAAAGATGTGAAGTAATAAGAGAGGGACTGGAATAAAGGTACAGAGGGAATTTGAGAGAGAGGAGGAGGGGGAGATAGAGACAGACTTGGATCAGGGAGACTCTGCTCGAAAACTGTTTGTTCTTTCTCCTTTTTCAGGACTGGGACGCTCTTGTTTTACATGTTCTCGTCCATTGCTGGATTCTTGCCGGTGCGAGCGCTCTTTGCTCCGACTGCGTTTGTGTGAGCGTTCCTTACTATGGCTGCGTTCCCTTTTCCTGTTCCTCTCCTCCCCTGCTTCCTGCCTGCTCCTGCTGCCCGAGCAGGAGCGCTTCTTGCTAGATCGTTCGGTTTTGTGTTTCCGGTCTCTGCTTCTGCTCCTTGACCGTTTACTCCTCTTTTCTTCCCTGTGCTTTCGTTCCTCCTTATCTTCCTTGTGCCTCCTCTCTTCCCCCTCTCCTTTACTCCTCTTGTCTTTGGACCTCTCCCGATCTTTATGGTGCTCTCTGTCCTTCCTGCGACTATGCTCTCTCTCACTCTCTGCCTCCTTCTCTTTCTCTCTGTCTTTCCTCTCGTTCCGCTTCTCTCGACTGGCGCTGCGACTCCGGCGTCGTTCCCTGGTTCGGTCTGGTGTTCTGGAGCGTCGTCTATCTCGGTCTCTCTCCCTGTCCTTCTCCCTCTCTCTATCTCTATCCCGGTCCTTTCCCTCCCGTTCTTTGCGCTGCCGATCTCGTTCTCTCTCCAGTTCACGGTCGAAGTTGGCGCCTTGTTTTTCTCTGTGATGGCTGCGACTCCGTGAACGATTTAGGGATCTCCTGGGACTGGGACTTTTCCTAGGTGTCCTGAACATACACAAATAAAAATATTAAACAGCATATACAAATACACTAGAACCCATAGGACACTTTGTCAAATAGGAGAGAGTGAGGGTAATTCTGAAACAGCAATACTATTAAAGGGTTAGTTCACCCAAAAATGAAAATTCTGTCATTAATTACTCACCCTCATGTCGTTTCAAACCCGTAGCATTCAGATTTAATGAAAGACAGAATCTGATATAGACAAGCATAACTCAGAGCAGAAATAAGAGCATTTCAATAAATTTTACCCAGGATACACTTACAAACAAGGCACAATTCAACACAGGATTTTCAGAAAGATTGAAACTAAAATACGATACGACAGTAATGTCGCAACACACAAGTGTGAGTAACTGTTTTATTACGTGGTCACTCCCGCTTTGTCTGTTGTTACAGATTGTTTGATATGTAGTATTTATGTTTTTTTACTTAAATCATAGCAGGGTCTATCTATGAAAAACTGCAAAACTGAACTGCCAATCATACCAGTGGGCATTTACTTCCAAGTATATAATCTTCCATGCCCGATGAGGGACGTCAAAACAGGACAGAAAATAGCCTATTACTTCTAAATTATAATGCTTACGTAAAAATCTTTATAACATATGTGGACCTCAGAGCACAATACAAAATTAACAAAAAAGGCAATTCATGACCCCTTCAATAACCAACAACACAAAAAATGAGTTGGGCTTAAATCCAACAGTGTCCATTATATACAAACAATTCCAAAGAAATGGCAAGTGCCACAATGAATTAAACATTGAAGTAGAAAAACTGAAATGTTATTTTCTTGTAAAACGTACTCCAGTAATCGGTTTTAATTACGGAGTAATTATGGCTGGTCTTAAATAGTTCATTCAAAATGGTTGGTGATCATTTAAATAAGCTGAAGTTAAAAAAGCTGAAGTTGCCTTCTTACATTGCCACTACAGTTCAAACACAACACCACAAACACTGATCACTGCTGATCTGGTTAGCCAAATAATCTCATCCCGCCCACACACAACGAATGTACCTGGAATGGCGCCTATCTCCATGCCTTCCCGAATCGGCTGCCGCCTCTTCATCCTGCGCATCTTTTTGCGGGGGTTTACGTGGTCGGCTCTTCATGTGCTGGTCGATTGATTTCTGAACAGGAACAGGAATTCGCGGGAACAACGTTGAGAACCATTCCAGCTTGGTCAGGAAGGAGCGGAGCATCTCTCCGACCGTCATTACGCACCCTCCTCCAGCCTTCACGTCCAACTCCTGATCACAAAAAACAAAGAGGAGCAAAACCATTAAAACTACAATCACAAACACGAAGAACACACTCAGACATGCACTTATCACACGACCTCTGGTATACAGGTTAACGCTAATAATTAGACTTTACACTGTCCTGAATGAAATGCTTCATTTGTGATGACCAAATACTGAGTCTTCACCTCTGCTCTCACCTGACTTAATTTTCAGTATTTACAGGTGCACAAAGTAATTTTGTTGTTTGTTCCACTGACCGTCATCTTGGACTTTATAGTAACAATAATCAGCATGTATACAAAAGGAATACCATCATTTAAATACCTTGATCACTAGCTAAAAAGGTGCTATTTCATAATGGACCTTTAGTGCACCTTTAACATAAGTGGAAATCTTAAGAGACTTACATTTTCTGTCTTTCTATTTGACTTTTTATAGAAAATAGCTTATTATATTGATTTTCAATAGATCAAAACTGCATGACTGAGCTTCAAAATAATTAGCTTCCACAATGTCTCTTACTATGCAATGACTCAAAATAAGTGCAATGCAGAGGAGGTCTTAGGTCAGCTGACATATATATGCTGTACCGGTGCGTGTGAAGGGGTGGAGTGGGTGGGTGAGCTTGTCTAACTGCACTCACGAACGCCAGCCAAGAGTGTGGAGCACACCCTATATCCAATCCACCCGCATCACAAGGGCCATCTGGGAGAGAGAACAGGGCAGTCAGCCAGAGACACACATAACCACCACCATGCCTGGCAGCAATTTCTGCTCAAAGCAAATTAGATCTCCTTTTCTGGACTTTTTAAAAAATGGATAATATATTACCAACTTGTTTACAGGTGAGAGTGGGCATGCAGGAGCACAAGAGATGAGCCAGCACCCAGTAATGGATATCTGATATTTACGGTCAAACATAAATGTCTCTTATGAATCACGGAGGCATGCTGCCATATACACACTTATCTGGGCTAAGAGAATATTGCATGCAATTAAACACATTTAACCACAGAGGAATAACTATAGAACTTCACATCTAGCTCAAAGGACCATTTGCTAGGAGTTTGTGCTGATCTCAGAACAGACATGGCATACCCAGTGAGATAAGAAACCAGTCATCTAAAGTCTTGGGTAAACTTGCCACCACACACACAGTTGTAACGGTGTATCTCAAGAGCAACATTAAGCCAAATGAGGTCAAAGGTTGAAGGACAGCAATGTGCATCACAATCAGCATTTGGCCTAAAGCTTACTGGTTACAATTGGGTACATTAGAAATAAGAGAGAGATGAAGGCATTACCCGTGGTGACATACCTCCTCGTCGTCAAGGAACTCATCATACCAGTCAACCAAGTCAGAAGGAGGTTGAGTATACCTACAATACACAGATTTGACATTACAAATGTGTATTCATCGAAGCCAGAAAATATGCATCATCCAAACAATGTAGCTTGACCTAAATACTTATGAAATTACAATCACATATACAGCAATTTGGGTACATCTGCTCAACGTATTCATATTCCTTTGCTAAATTCAACGCTAGAATTTGATTATTCAAAGTAGTTCACCCACATGAACCTCTATGGCAGTGTTAAAAAACAAAACATGAAGTGACTTCTGAAACAGTTACTAAAAAACCCCCAAAAAACAAACAATTTAGGTAATGTTATGTGTTCTGAGTCATACCTGATGTACATGAAGCCCAGTGACCTGATATAGGGCGAATCTGTGTGAGTGATGAGACCCATCACTTGTTTGCGGGTCAGTTTCAGTGTAAATAGCTTATACAGCAAGCAAAATGAAGTGGACACAATCCCACCCGTACCGACTCCTCGAACCTGCAAGACAAACATCAGGAGTCCTACAGCTAGACTTATTTCCTGCTTAAGTGAACCTCTCCCTTGATTTAATCAAAATGACAGAGGATGGGAGGATTAAGTCGAGGAGGTCTCAAGGCACGTACTTCTACTTACCCCTCCGCACATTCCCGTCTGCCCCGCGGTCTTCCTGCTGCCTTTTTCCCATGGCTCCATATGGGTGACCTGAGAAGTAAGTCAGATGATTAGAGGAAAAATACAACTCAATCCCAAGCTAACCTTCTTTCAAACCTAGATTCTACAACTTACTGTTAATATGCTACTTAAAGCTAATACTTTAGAATCATAAATAGTGGGAAAAGAGTTCACAATCTTTTGCATTTTGTTTATTTATTTTGCAACAGTACTGGCTAATAGAAAGATACTATATTTTCCGTAGTAACAATAAACGGTCGTTCATACAAAGGACGATAACTTTAATTTAGTCGTTGTAATTCTATGAGAATAGGGAAGTTCACACCACAACTATAACGACAAAGAGGAATGATATCGTTGGAATCACTCTCAAAATGATTATTTGTGACCCTGGACCACAAAACCAGTCATAAGTCATAAATAAAAATAAAATTTAAAAAACCTTGCTACGTGTACTGCGTTAAGCTAACTGAGACTTGTTATAGCACTTGTATATCATTGCTCTTTTGTTGATTTTGATTGCTTCCATTGTCCTCATTTGTAAGTCGCTTTGGATAAAAGCGTCTGCTAAATGTCTAAATGTAAATGCAAGTCGCATGGGTATATTTGTAGCAATAGCCAACAATACATTGTATGGGTAAAACTATTGATTTTTATTTTATGCCAAAAATCATTAGGATATCAAGTAAAGATCATGTTCCATGAAGATTTTTTTAAATATTTTTTCTTACCGTAAATATATCAAAACTTAATTTTTGATTAGTAATATGCATAGCTAAGAACTTCATTTGGACAACTTTAAAGGTGATTTTCTCAATATTTTGATTTTTGTTTTTTTTGCATGCTCAGATTCCAGATTTTTAAATAGTTGTATCTCCCCAAATTTTGTCCTAACCTAACAAACCACACATCAACGGAGAGCTTATTTATCAGCTTTCACATGATGTATAAATCTCAGTTAAAAAGAAAAAAAAAAGAGAGACCCTTATGACGGGTTTTGTGGTCCAGGGTCACATTTCTCCAGCTTTTGAACGACAAAATACACTGAATGTTCCATACAATTAAAGCTAATGGTGACTAAAGCTGTCATTCTGTCTATAGTATACAAAACACTTTGTGTGTTCTAATAAGTAGCTTAATCTTACTGGTTTGGACCAACGAGTGGGTGAGTTCATAATGACACAAATTTAATTTCTGAGGTAACTAACTATTCATATAACGTTAGGCATATTTTGAACTAAAGCTAGTTAGCACAATTAGCCTCCATGGACTAACACGGCCTAGTTCAGCTCACGTAATACTACATTTAAATCAATAGACAATTATTTAAAAACTATATAAACCTAACAGGAAAAATAACAACCAATGAGCAATACACGAAACGACAATGTAACACAAATAAGAAAACCGCGGGCTTCACGCTCGTCGGCCGGGTTAATTTCGCCACCTTGAAGTATATCTCGTCCACCACCTCGTGGTACGTCTTGAGCTCGTACAGCTGGACCTTGAAGTATGGCGACGACAGGACGTTTGTCAGGATCATGGGGTTGAGGTTCATGGTCTTCTCGTTGCCCCATAACGGCAAGAGGTTACCATGTTTCCCGCCGGCCGGTTTGCTCACGGCCTGCTGCTGACTAACCGCCATGGCAGCTCCTTCACAACGCCATTAAACTACTAAACGAAAGGAAACGACCGTTGTCCCTAAAGAATATGGCGGCAACGCGTTCAACGAGGTGCGCGAGTGGCGGACCGACGTCTCTTAATTCATTCGAACTTGATTTTGGATCGTTTGATCGTATTCTCTGCGATTAGAAGACGCACGCGAAGCGTTCAGTTAACGACGTTACGCCGAGTTGTGGGGACAAGATGGCGCACGGAAGAGGGGCGGCGGAAAGGGACGCAAGGCTGGGGGTTGTCAAGTTTCTTCTTCTTGTACGATTTTATGGCGGTTGACAAGCCAACTTATGGTGTATTACCGCCACCAACTGGACTGGAGTGTGAAGCATTAACGGGAAAGTGGGAAAAAGGACCGCCCCCCCCCCAAAAAAAACCCCAATTCCATAAATAAATAAAACAACCGGTAGTATTATTATGACATTTAAATTCTACTTTCTAATCCTGTTATCTTCAGATAACACAAGGCACAACTTAAAAGATTTGATATCGTGAAATTAATTACTCCTATGTTTCTCAGTTTCTTAAATAACTCCTCTCTTTCTTTGGTATATGCTGCACAATGTAAAAGTACATGCTCAATAGTCTCTGCTTCACTGCATGTAGTACACAATCCTGACTGATAATAAATGAACTTTTCCATGACATTCTAATTTATTGAGCTGCACATGTATATCAAATGAAAGCTCTTGATGAGCTCTTTCTACTGCCAAAAGGACACAAGTGAATTCTTAATAATTTTGGAGTTATTCATTAGAAACCAAAAGACTTAACTCTGAACATACTAAGCCTGTTGGTTTTTGTTTTGGCCCTCCTGTAAAGTTGGTGAAATGTCACTTACGCCCTTCTGGTTCTCACCCCTCGATAGCAATTTAGCAACAAATTAAAAATACAGAATCAAATACTTAAATTATATAAGTTTTATTTTTTTAAAACAAAATGTATTCTTAAAATGCAACATATTAGAGTGAAGCACATATATTGCATGTTGAATTTTGTCAAAGTATTTATGTATATACTTCATGACCTTTATGATTTGAAACATCAGATATATCATAAATCTTTATTTCTTTGACTTCAGGTTTTTCTATAGTTTGACAGTTGTCGCTATCAGAAAGCCTGAACACAAATTAAATTCACGTTATATACATTCTTAAAAATATGACAGTTTTGTAATCTACAATATGAAATTTGATAAACAGCCCTTTTTTATTAGCCTTTAAAATTGGCATGTTCTTTCAAACACATTTTTGCAGTAATAAACTATAAAATATCCCACATTTACAAACCCCTTTCAAAAAACACAACAACATTAAATAGATCCTAAATAGGTCTTCTACGTCTCTCCTTAGCTGAAAAGGAATGCCTGTAAAATGAATTTGGATTATGCCATTTTAACAAACAGTCCACTATTTGCAGCGTCCATCCCTGTGCAACTTGTGGTTGAGTCTTGTTTATGATGACAAAATGCTGACAGCACTAAACTGGGATCTTAGAAACGGACTCATTTGTGGGTCACTTTGACTGGGTGTTGAACCAACAGCCACCTACAGTACAGACCATCTTAGCTGTCATCTGTTTACTGTATATTTATACAGTTTTCTTTTAAATCAAAACATCTGTAACATTTTAATTTGACCATTATGGATGGTCTCATAAAAAGACAGAAATATGATTTCAAGTTGACCACTTGAAATCATGAGTGAATTAGTATACTTGAGTATTATTATTATTTTTTAAATTAGCAGCATCCAACCAAGGAAATATCAGACAATCCAAAGTGCATCAGTCTGTGTCAGTGGATTAAAAAAAAGCTGATCTTTACATTAAAAATAGTCCTGAATCTGTAACACGTCTTTTCAGTGTTTCAAGTGTTTTTTAAAGTGTCTGTGAGAACTATAACTATCTATTTTTGGTAAAAGAATACCAATCCAAGTATTTCCTGTTACTTTGAGCTTAAGCAAAGCTTCTGTCTGTCTTCAGAGCTTTACCACTAGGGGGAGCAGTGATTCCACAAATTCCTAGAGCCCATGTGTCAGGAGCCCTATACATAATAAATATACACAGTACATACACATATATTCCGTAAACAAAAACTTGTATTTTGAATGTGATCAATCGTGATTAATCGTTTGACAGCACTAATATAAACCCTCATGTCAACTGGTGGATGATAAAAAGGCCAAAAACATCCCTAATGATACCATAATGATATACATATATAAGAAGTTCCTTATGCTTATCAAGACTGCATTTATTTGATCAAATACAAGCAATATTGTGAAATATTACAATTTAAAACAACTGTTTTCTATTTTAATATACTTTAAAATATTATTTATTTCTGTGATACAAAGCTGAATTTTCATCAGCCATTTCTCCAGTCTTCAGTGTCACATGATCCGTCAGAAATAAAAATAGAATTTTTGAATAAATAAATGCAGCCTTTATGAACATAAGAAACTTATTTAAAAACATGAAAAATCTTACTGATCCCAAACTTTTGAACAGCAGTGTATATTACATTAGTTAAACTAATAATGAATAGTAACAATATTTTAAGATTAGTCATATCAATCTCAGCACTTACTAATTTTTTGCAATTAAGTTTTATTTGTTAACATTAAAATAATGCATTGTGAACAAACATTAACAAACAATGAACAATTCTATTATAATTATATTTTTACTAACTAAAGTTTAATAAATACTTTAGAAAATATATGGCTGATTATTAGTTCATGTTAGCTAATGCATTTACTTTTTAATGTTAACAAACGGTACCATTTTACAATACTGGCCCCCCGACTGAGACTGGTTTCTCCCAACGTTTTTTCTCCATTCTGTCACCGATGGAGTTTTGGTTCCTTGCGGGGAGCAGTGATTCCACAAATTCCTAGAGCCCATGTGTCAGGAGCCCAGAATAGAACTGCTACTTGTGATTGAAGACAACTGCTGTCCTCTCGTTTGACACAGGATATTACATCACCTTCCCCCACGGACGTTCAGTCTAGCATTTTATAACCACCTGTTCAAAAGCTCCTGCACCAACCCTGAATGATGGAAAGAGAGAGACAAGGCATTATATTACATTACAGAATTACATTACCACAGTCTGCAATTTTATGATATTGTCAGAGCTCATGTAACATTATATTTCTCTGTAATCTGCTTCTTATAATGCAAAACACAATGACCATGTATCACACAAGGACGGCATAAGGGATAATGCCAGTTGCCGTGGCGACCTTGGGGCAGGGAAAGTTACATAATATATCTCACCTGGTGTGCTGAGAGCCCAGTGCAGTGCTGCCTCCTGGCCCAACAAACAGTCGCAGACCCTCCTCTGCAACACACATACATATTTATTTTAGACATCATTCAGTTGGTGCAAAGGCTTAAAGGGGGGGAAAAATAGTGCTGTCAAACGATTAATCGCATCCAAAATAAAAGTTAGCTCAGTGAATAATAAAAAAAAAAACATAGACCCGGCTAAGCGGTAGAAGTGGAGTGATACAAAATTGTGAAAGGGCGTTCCTGTAGCGATACCAGTACAATATCTCACGGTTCTCAACCAATCAGATTTGAGAACCAAAACTGTTGTATAAATATAGACATGTAAATATTTTCAAAATATATACAGTATTTGTGTCTTTATATTATACACAGAACACTCACATATATTTTGCAAACAAAAACGTTTATTTTGTATGCGATTAATCGCGATTAATTGTTTGACAGCACAAATATATATATATATATATATATATATATATATATATAATACATTTATTTGAGTAGTTTTCCTATATAGAAGCCATATGTAATATGTAAAAAGAAATAGAGAATGTCCACTTGCCTCTGACAACCAAAAATAAAATCAAAACAAACAAATAAATAAATAACATATAAAGGCTTCTTTTGAAGACAATGAAATTCTTGTTAGCCTAAATTGGTGAATTAAATGGGATAAACTGCTGGTTGAACTAAAGCAGTTTTAAGTCAAAATATCATTGTTCATTCATACATTCAATTATTATTAATTCAAAATGTTAAAATTATTTCTGTATTTATTATTTTAATTGATTTAATTTCCAGCGATATCGTTGACTTGATTGCACAGACACTATTTATACTGAACTGAGCTGGACGATGGCATCACTGAATTCACTGATGAACTGCCTTTAACTGAAAAATTAGTGTTTACTATTGTCCTTTTGCATGATCGACACACTATTTTCCTATTTGATACTGTAAAGATGCTTTGACACAATCTGTATTGTTAAAAGCGCTATATAAATAAAGGTGACTTGCATTAATC